ATTGTCATATCTCTGTCCTCCTCCCTCCTCTTTTCCCTTCCTCTCTCTCTCTCTCTCTCACCCCTGTCATTTGTTTCGGTGGCAGTGGTGGTGTGTAATAATTCGCTGGCAATGGTTACATGCATCTGACTGCCTCGTGGTGGCGCAATCGCCCGAGAGCTGCACTGCCGTAGCCTATAAGAAGCCCGTAAAGCCCGGGAATTGCGTTTGAGGCCCTTTTGGGGCCCCAGTTGGACGACGCAGCGGATTGTCCAGCAGTGCCTCAATTATGCGGGGACGAGAGGGCATTTATTACCTGCACTTGCAGTACACAGTACAGGTAGGTGGTAATATCGATTGCATCGTCACTCCGACGACTCAAATAGGCTTGAATTTGTTTGGTGGCCAGTTGAGAGTGGTATCGTAATGTAGGGAATGATGCACTTTAGCGCGCTTCACCATGAGATAAATCCCTTCAGTGTAGCAATTAATACTGACCAGACCAGGCACATAAACGAGCACGTCTATAGTGAGAGCAATCGCCGTCGTCGTCAGCCGACCACGGGCTCCTGTAGTACCCTCCGAGATTTGGAATGAAATTAATTGAGGCAAATGCGCCTACCCTTTTATCGTGTTTGCAATCTCAACGAGATGGCGACTCGCCTTTGAATTGCCAAACAGACCAATAAATGCATTCGGACGCTTGCAGACTCCCTAATAGACAGGTAGAGCACCTCAAGCCGGTGACTTGTCCCAGCCCTGCTGAAGGACGACTCTTCCGCCCTCAGCAGGTCCAATAGTCTTGCGTGTGCCGTTATCTGGACAAGGAGAATCGTTCTCCGAGCACGTACTGGAATACTGGCCCCAGACCTTTGTCTTGATGATTCTTCTACTCTCGAGGAATGTTCGAGGCAAAATCTAAACACACTCGACGTCCTCCATTGCAGCCTCTGTTTAGATCATGACATTAATTTTCTTTCATGTGTACAAAATTCAATTGTCACCCTGTTGCTCCTGCAAGCTGTCACGTCTTCTTAGTGCTATAGTATATATCTATTCAAGGAGTCGTCCTCTAAGTAATGATCACAACTCGGCTCCAAGTGAAATCAAGGCCAATTGATCATCCCATGTGCTAGCGGTGCGTCAATCAAAGCTCAAGTTGCCAACACATGTATTTCCAATCATGACACGCGTTCATTGATAAATACTCATCTAGCACATCAAAGATAAGGGGCCGATGGAAAGTTTAGAATCAGAGGAGAAGTCCATACCAGACACGATGAGTGTGGCTTGAACATGACGGTAAGTTTTGGGGACATATTTCTATGCATATCAGTCCGTAAAAGAATCTCGGCACCAAACGCACTCAAGTTATTCCCGATGAAATGCGGTTCAAACGGCATAATATGCGGCAAGCAGTATTCCTAACACAACTGGCGGGCAGGCACTTGGGGAGCGTTGGTCTTCCAACCATGGCAGTCTTGTCGAGATTGCACCTACCGTATGATCCCATCAAGCCCTGTCGGATTTAAGGACAATTCGTGTCATTCTCATGACGTGGGAGATTCTTTTGTCTCATCAGTAGTGAAGAAATGGCATGGTGGCAGAAGCTTATCACAAGTCTTGGACGATTTCATAAAGGCTTCCTCTCGAAGTCAAGGTGCTCGCTATTTCTTCTATCAGAATTCACAGTGACGATGTTGCACCGACTCAATTTCGGTAAATTTGGCATGTGTCTTGTTCCATCCATGAGGTTTCTGAAACGCTGGGGGAAAAAGGTCAATTGCTGCTGAGTACTGGAGAGCATCCGATACTTTTGTGCAAATGGGAATTTTCACGTCAGGGCAGGCTCTCCATCTTCCAGTGTTGTTTTGATTGCTCTCTGGTAGAGCGTTTGTATTATGCTAGAAACCTTTGCCAAGCTTGTGAAAGTGTTTGTCCTAACCTCGAAGTTCCGTCTTCATTGGGCGTAATAAGACTTGAACCATGGCAGGTGCCAGTACTAGCCCATCTGTCCATCATGATGCGAGCAAGGGCGCTCGGTCATGATTTTCCCTAATTGTACTTTCGTGTGGTTTGTCCAGCTACCATCAAGTGGCACAAGTATCGGTGAAAGTACTCTGCATTAATTTGTTTGAGCATTCTTCAAACATTTCTTCATGCATTTCATATCCTTTATTTCATTCTCTACTACGTTCTCGCTTCATATAGAGACTTGTGTCTAACGTGCTACCCAAACTGAGAATCGAAGAAGAAGAAGACTTCTGCGCTGTACATCTCACGAACAAAACATCAACCGCATAACCATGTCAATTTCAATGGCGGTCCCCTATCCCGTTCGCGTAAATGAGCATGGATTTCGACAACTAATACTCTTACACCATCTCCCCAACAACTGACTGAAACTACCGATTGATACGCGTCGACACGAAGAATGTCCAACATCACCGGAGAAATATAAGTTATTCCATTCGATCGCTTGCAGATCTAGACATTCTCATTCGATAAGAAAAATGATCTATCACCTTTCTTCTTCTCCGACTCTGAGCACATTACAGCAAGTATACGATGTGCGAAAACGAGCAGCGGTCTCGACCCTGCATGGTTTTCTCCACCAAGAAAGTGCATTCTCCCGAAAGAAGAAGAAAAGCGCGTTATGGATTTCAGCACTGGGTGCTTTAAACAATATTCTACTCACTCCCACTTGGATATAATTACTTGTGGTCAGGATAACGACATGGCGCGAGTCAAGATCCTCCAAACACAACGCACTTTGGGTGGGTTTGATGCTCATCTGGTATTCCCTTCTCGAATAACATTTTGAAACTATCGTGGATTCGACCAACACGATATACATTGCAAGTATCAATAAACGGACGACAGTGCGGCAATCTAACAATCGAGACATGATATATAATATCATAACATGTAAGTAATCCAACTATTCACAGTCACAAACTGCAGAGAATGACTGATCTATAGATTAGCCGCAAGCCAGCCCTCGATCATCAAAATCCAAAGAGAACAACAAACGAGTATCCTTAGCAGCCGAATCATGTGCGACTTCGAAGAGTTCCTGTTTGAGTGTGGCCACGGCGTCGTCCGCTTCAAGTCCAACTGCCATTTCCGACGCAACGATCCAAACAAAGAGTGCTATTCCGTGAAGGTCCTCCGGAATAGCTGGAAGCAGGATGGTCAGGTCTGCGAAAGCTGCTTGCAGCAAGGTGTGCGCTTCGACCCGAGAACCAGGAAGCTATACCAAGAGACTCTGATACACGGATGAGATGAACAATATGCGGGCCCTGGGAAAATGTTTGCTTTTTTTTTCTTTTTTTGAAATATCACACGCATATGGATACGAGAGGCGGTGCCTTGAGATTTGCGTGAGCATCATGCGTATGTTCAGGCGTATTAAGTCCTGGTATTGATGAAATACCCTAGGAATGTATCAAGTTGGCGTGTTGTGCTCAAGAAGCAAGTTTTAGTATACCTCTTAAGATCTTTTGATGTCCGTTTCCCATGAAGTGACGACGGTATACATGTAGATACCCATGTAGCAAGGATACGGTATTGCCATTCGGAGCAGGACGATGCTCTATACACTTCTTGTGTAAAGATCCAGCGACTTTGTAATAACACCGTCCAAGAAAAAGGTGGCGTGTTCGTTATCATCATCCACGGGGTACTTACTTGGTGGAGTAGCTACCTAATTTATGCGAGCTGTTCAAGGACTGGGCGACAAGGTAAGACTGGTAATCACCGCGAACATAGAAAGGAGTTGGTTGTAATACATTCGGAAATTTTGTCAGCGTCGCACGGCGACTGTTGTTCTACAGGAAATTGGTTACAACCAAAGGTTTAGACATTTCGACCTGACTTAAACGACGACGAACATGGACAGCATACATCTGCTTGACGCAATATTCCCGCCCCGAGCCACACCGTGATAAAGCTTGGCAATTAAGAATGCATGACGTCTTCATGCAAAAGATTACGCACACATTACACATAATTGAATTTTCAGTTGGATAGTCACTGTGGCTGCCAGGTTTGGAGTTGGGATGTATAGTGCTTCGGGTTTTGTGGAGTAGGATCAGGAAGATTCCATTAATTGGTTAGAAATTGTAAATTGCATAGCGATGTACTCATCATCGAAGAGCTCGATGAGGTTATTGCCAGCAGCAATCTAATGTGGTGGCACGGAGTCAAATATTCCAAGTCTCTGAACATTGATTGCATGCTAGTCGCATCCGATGGGCTTCGACATGTGGGTGGCAACATGAGGAAAGGCGCGGTACTATGCATTGAAGATAGATATACTGACATGTCAGGTAACATGGGCATATAACGGAAAAAATCACAAGGATGCTTGCACAAGCTGCAATCCTGGCAAGGAACAGTTAGAAAGATGAACTTGCTTCAGTTTATTTCACCTCGCACAGGGTATGTTTAATGTTTGGCCCAGCCCAAGAGGCAGTGCGGATGACAAGAAACGCTTTTGCCACAATGTCATGAACAATGATGATTCCTACAAGCTTATTCCATGTTGGTGGCTCCGGCAACGACCCCTACCACATTGTATCTTTTGGAAAAGAACGTGATCCAATCGTTGAGGACTCCCTTCTCCTTGTCGGGGAGGTCTTGCCACTCAGAAGAGACGTCCTCAGCCTTCGTAGAGGTCTTTCCAAGAGCCCTGGAGGCGTCCTTGCCAGCAAATACTTGGTGATTGTTAGCATCGCATCGATGCTAGGCGAAAAGTCGAATTGACTTGTGTGTACTCACCGTGGTATGAACCGCCTGGCTGATATGCCTTGTTGCCAGTTACATCGTAGACCTTGCCCTGAAATTGATTGTCAGTATAGTTTGGTGGAATTCGCATGACGTTTCATGGCCCAAGCAGCTTGCCGATTGCAGACTCTTCAGAGACATGGATAAACCTGGAATTGACATACCTTGATGGCAACATAGCAGTTTTGGCCTTCGGTTCCTGAGCGAAGTCGACGTCAGCTCTTGAACAAGCACGAGATGGCGTATTTATGCCCCTCTTCATCGACCACACCTGGCCTGTAGTGACTCGTTGATGTAATTAGGCCGTCCTGCTTTTGAAATAAACTTACCATCAGCCTTTGCAAGATCCTCCACAGAGATGGGATCGTCCTTGGGAGGGTTGAGCTGAACCGGGACCTTGGGCTCAAATTTTCCAGACATTTTGCTAGTGTTTATGTAATTCTGCAAGGAGGTTGAAACGTTAATAATGCTCGACTCAGTCCGGGATAGACGGGGTAGTCGATGGCGTCAGGCTTGTGTAGAATAGCAGCGATATATGCCACGTAACAGCGTCGTGTAATATGACCTTACTTGGCAGTAAGGACAGTACTGATGCACTGGGATACGAGTACTAATACATGGACTTACTCTCTAGTATGATATCGATTCAAGAAGCGGTCGTCGTCTGTTCTTTATGTTGCCTTGTCGTTGGGCTTATTTGTGTGGTTGTTTGAGGTGTGCGGGCAACAATCGAGGTGAGGCATTCCAGTGGGGCAATTACTGCCGAGGCCGTGTTAGCGGATTCTTTCCGTGCCTGGCACCTGCTTCGTTTAATGCACACAGGGACAGAAAGGTACAGATCCAAACTCGATTGGCATGTAGGCTGATAACACTGGTGACAGTGAAACACAAGGAAGAAAACTACTGCATATGGCAGTCGGACAGGTATAAGATTTCGTGAATCTATAGTGTTAAGCCGAATGAATGTAATAACGAATTGTACGTCTCGGAATGCCAGTCGATCCCGCTCATGATTTGGCGCAACCTTGAGTGGTCCGTTATGCGGCACATGGAGATGTGGGTCCACGTTGAGCTCCAAGCTGTCGGGAGCTACGGTGCAAATAATTGCGGCGCGATTGTCGTCATTTCAGAACACCACATTTCATTCAATGTTCGTCTCTAGTTCAGTTCCTCTTCGCTCCTAACATTAAGGGAAGCCAGCGCCGAAATAGAGCCTCGCATGGCTTCGACCTGAATATGTCTTCGATACGCATCCACGCCGTGCGGCCCTTCAATGGGATCTCTACATCTCATTTTGCGCGCCCAGGCCTGTCACAGACACATTTTATCCGACAGCTCAACCCGACATCTACAGACGGCAGATGCCCTCAAACACTCGTGATTCTGCGATCACATCAAGTACGATGTCAGTCGACAGGCGGCAAGAAGTTCGCCGAGGGTCAGCCGCCGACCTCATCTTCAACGCTACTACTTCGCGCCCTGCGACAGAGTCTTAGCCTGCGACCCTTGGTTGGCGCATTCCGCGGACAGAGCCTACAACGACTATACAGACAAAGCCCTGAGGAGCTCGTGATTGCTCTGGCACTGTAAGTTTGAATTGTTCGGTATTTATCATCCACCATTGAGTCATTGCTAATTATTGGGTTATCCGTAGTTTGGCAGGCACTGCCGTCATCATAGTCTATGTCATTTATACCTACTTCAACTATTTTCAGTCCGAACAATTCACCAAATTCCCTCCCGATGTGGCGAAATCGATGCGGCGCGCGCTATATTACAGCAACTATAGTCCTGATCCAAAACTTGCCTTGAAGTATTACAAGATGGCACTTGAGCAGTGCGAGTCCAACGGCCTCGACCCCTTCTCCGACGGCGTCATGGGAATCAAGATCCAGCTAGCTGCGTGGCTAGAGAAAGTTGGTAGCTACAAGGGTGCCATTGAGGTTCTCGAGGCCCTTCTTCGCGACTGTAACAGGTGGGTTGCAAAGATGGAGCAGTCAACTCGTGATGGCCTGATCGACAAGGACGGGAACCTGATTGGATTCACCAAAGCACCGGCTGAGAAGGAGGACAACAAACCTGAAGAGGAGGAGGAGGTGCCGGAAAACCTTTGGGGCAAGCGCACCAGAGTTCTCGGCAAAACCGTTGGCATCAGTGTAAAGCTTGGAGAGCTTTATGCAGATGAACATGTTCTCCAAAGCGAAGCAGCCGGAGAGCGTCTCGTTTGGGCTGTTGAAACTGTCTTGAAGGAGCTGCAACGACGACAGATCCAAGGAGTTAAAGAGGGCGAAGGAGAATGGATGTCCCCCGAACAGATTGGCGGCGCTCTAGAAGGTAACTTCTCTCTATCCTGCGCGGGATTGCCACCAGACACACTAACAGATACCACAGCATTGGCCAATCATTACGAGTCAAAAGACAAGCACTATCTAGCTGCTCCTCTGTATCTACAGGCACTCACAATGTCCCCCCCTAAGAGTTGCCACACTGCTGTTCTGAGTACGTTAGCGATACCCGGAGATTGCGTCTGGAAACTTCTTGGCTAACTGAAAATAGTGAACAACCTGGCAATATCACTGGCACAACAGCCTCTCACCCCCGCTGATGGGACTGCGCTCCCAGCAGCCACGGGATCCAAGGACCAACCTCGCCCTACGCGCGCAACCCTGCTTGCCAGCGCAAAGTCATGGGCCCTGCAGGCACATGCAACTGGATCAAAGGTGACTGGCGAGGATAGAACGGAAGAATGCGACCAGGCCTGCGCTGTCGCACTATGCAATCTAGGAGAGATCGCCGCAATGACTGGTGATATGGAGGAAGCCAAGGCCAGATTCAAGCAAAGCCTTGGGCTCAGCAAACGCATAGGCTTCGAGGATGGTGTGACGCAAGCTGAAGACGGGTTGGCAGCAGCGTCAATGAAGCTGACGGCCAAGTCTCCGTAAAGCATCTAATTAAAGGTGGTAACTTCATTTCACGTTCCCAGTGCACCAGCAAGACTTGTAGCTCTGGAAATACAGCGGAAAGCCAGCCACATTCTCAGCTCAATCCTATACTAGCCATCTTCCATCCTTATCATGAGCATAGGTGATGATCTTGCGGCGGCCACCTGTCTCTGTACAATTACGACATCAGCACAGCCGATTCGATGTCAGCACAATGGCTAAGAATAGCTCACCAAACCTTCATGTGGTGTCGTCGCTTAGGATACGATATGAATGAATCTCCACTGTAAAGCATGGGATGCTTGAGAGAAGGGAAACCTGAGTGAAATTCCATAAAATGCCCCCACCTCTAGCATGATAATATTGCTCTGGTGTTAATTTCAGTACCCTCATGTACTACTTCTAGCAGGTTTCATGGAGCCAGCCCCCTTGGATGTAGTCTGATCTTTCCCCAGATGGAGAAAATTGGGCCGTGGTTTGTTTCCATGGGCATGTGTTTCAACGTCATTCGCAGAAATCTCACCGCTCCAGTTCGTGATACCTCAAGGAAGCCTCGAAGAGTATATACAAAGTGTCTCCGCCTTCGACTCCGAGTCAGACAAATATGACCCATGCACTTCCCTGTTTAGGCGTGTTGGGATACCGACGTGAAGAATGATTCTCCAGTCTTGGAATATTCATTGAGGATTCTCTGGACTGTTCCCACCGACTGATGCCCACGGCTTCAAACTACCTTGCTCCTTCTTTCCCTTGCAAAGCGGATATCATGCGGAGGTGGGTTTGGCGATATCCTTCCCAACCTCGGCAAGGACTACATCATCTCAGGTAGTTTCCAACCTCGCAAAATACCTCATAATCACATCAGGAAGTCGGTAGCACTCTCACAGAGTTTATCTAGTCACTGTCAATGATTGGCGACTTTGAATCCCTCGCGCATCTCTTGTAGTTGCCCAGTTGGGTCATGGTTCTTGAATGTCCCAGCAACTCGGTAGGTTCGCGCTGGAGAGTTAGGGTCGAATTGAAGCTTGAATAGAGACAATTTGAGTCTGCTCATGGTAGCCAAATGGCTGAACAACAAGCTACTTTGATTACATCACGTCGGGCAGTTCTTCCGAAAAGGCCCTCGAGGGATGAAACCATCAAGGGGTGCGCGATAATATGGCTAGCTGCCCCGGACGGTAACAATCTCGAATGGTCGAAAAGTACCGCAATGTGGCCCAAGCCAAAGCTTGTTTGTATAGACTCAATATCAGAGATGCCACCTGTATCATGTCTACTGGTATCTCCAAGTATCTGCAGTATAGAAAAGTCCCACCAGGAAAGGAAAAAAGGCATATGTAAGCCAGTGGGGAGGCCCAAGCCCAGAGCCAATAGAAGAGCTTGCTGGCGGGGAAGGACGGAGATATAGCCGCTGCCCGCTTCTCTAGGGTGACGAGTCTACCAGATTGGCTCGCTACCACAGATCTCTCAACTCACCGCCAGGGCCTCTCTTGTGCATCTTTCTCGTAATCTCATTCGTATACTTTCAATATATCCTACCCTGAGCAGGGAATATGCGCAATCTTGCGTGCCTGAGGATTGAAATCCTATTTCGCACGCCACAGAATTCCCTCCTCCCCTCATATCTTTGTTCGGAACTCGGTTGTCTAAGTTTTTCTTCTTCTTTGTTTTTCTTTATCGGCATCATGCGGGCACGTACATTCTTCACTCATGGGTAAGAAGACAGGGGAAATGCATACAACAGAAGCAGAACAACGGCGCAGAAAACAGAAATGTACATTCGTCTTGAAGGGATCTACAAGTTCAAAGACTACAAGGGTTGTACTCTGCAGTGACATCTTACCTCAGTTCTCGAAGCTCTCAAGAAGCCCATTATACCATGACTACATCACCTATGGGCCACACGGTGGGAGTGAGTCCCAAGCCCTTGGAAATGCTACCCGTCCCTCGGGTTTTCCACCAATCCACGGCTACAAAAGGACGCGGCCGCCCCTTCTCGGAAGCTCCGCGTAATTTCCACAGATAAGTCGTGTTCACTGCGCTCTGTCTCTGATTTGATCGCTTTTTATACCCATATGAAGGTCTGCCCTTGGGACACATGGCTCAGCCTTATACAGCCAGGAATAAGTATTGGTTCAGACAGGAGCATGTTGATTTGGACAAATTGAAACACTGACCTACACTATGCATTTGCACCGGACCAATATCTCTCCCGAACAGTATACATTGTGCACTAGGGATTGTATACCGAGTGCCATCATCGGGTGGGGAAAAAACAACAACTCGGTATGGTTCCACATGTGCATCTAGAGGTATCTGTCAGGTGTACAATTCTGTACCATGGAGATACTTCTTGCACGGGGATCTCGATGTTTTGAATGTATGGTTCTTGGGCAGATATTATTCGAAGAAACTAGAACTCAAGTTGCGCGATCGGGATAGGACCCAGGTTTTCCGAAAGAAGGCAATAACATGGGCGCTCATCTACTTCTTCTGTACCACCAATGATGGCAGCACGTCCAACGTCATACATGTTACTTGCGTCTCCTTTACAGGAAAAGACTCTACGAGAAAACAGTGGATAGCATATACTTTGAGCCAGTATAATCAACTTGGCTGTCTTATTCTTCCTACTCTCTACACGACATGCGACCCCAATAACAAGGGCGATTGGACTGTCTTGACATGAGGAGTTTGCGTATGCCACATGATCCGTGTCATTCGCTAGCAGTCAGGAGAGTCTTCCTGACTCATGATAACATCAAGTATTCTTGGTTGTCTACACCATATATACCTGCCCAACGCTGTTCCTGGAATTAAAGTATCATGTCAGACTTGGGGCCGGGATGTATAAACGTCCAGAATCCGAGTTCTATTCATCCTTGCAGCCCATTCGAATACAGGGTGAACATTCAAGAGGTTATGCGAATAGTATATTCAGGCTTCTGATAGAGAGCAACAATGTTCAGGCAATAAATTCTCCAGAACGACAACGTTCAGTGAGGCAGGCAGTAGATGCCAATTTGGGCTTGGTGTACGACCGCACGGCTCATGCATATATCTCAGATTGATCGTGCTGCGAAAAGCTTTCAGATGGGTCAAAGATGCTGTTGCGCCGGACCTGTACGTACACACTTTTGCAGACGTCGCAGAGGCAGTACGACTGATTCAAACAACCCAAGCCTTTGGCAGATTGTATGTTGTCGGTTGAGAAACGACCTCATAGATTCTGCATGTTCAGATCTGGATGTTCGACCCGAAAGAATGAAGCTCGCTGCCTGCAGGAATCTCAAGTGGCCATCGACGGATGATTTGTTCTCATGATCTCCATTTTCCTTATACTGCATGAATTGCTGACATATATCAACCACGGTGGCTAAAGTAACAACGACTGCTAAAAGAAGGGATCCAGAGATCTGGGTTTCCCCAACTACATGAAATAGTCAATCATGTACGCGCCCTCTGAGTGACAAAGATATCAGTCAGCACTAATTAGCTGTTTGATATAACCTTAAGCTATAGCTCCGTCACAAGAAGAAACGCCTGGTCGCGAGAATTTCGACGCAGCAAGTAAGGGTCTTGACGTCACCGAAATCAAGGGCTTCAATGTTGAACAGAGTGTGAGCCGCGTTTCCCAAGGGGTCACTTTTTAGTTCTAGGTTGTATCTTTGTCACGCAGTGGATTGTTTGATGGTGAAAAAAAGATTAGCGCGGCGTCACACACGTCACTGGAGCGCTATTTTGTTTCCCTACGAAGCTATCTTGGAAGACCGAGGGACACATGCATAAGCGTCTATTCGGCCTGGCCAATATACGTAGTTTCACTACAGCACACTAGAAATTGCAGTTCCTGTACTGCATCCGCCATAATCGAAATCAACGAGCCATCCCTTTCAAATATAGCAATGGACAAGATCCGAGGCGGATGAGTTCAAGGGACAACTAAGAAGGAATAAAAGAAAGAAACAACCTATCAAGGGTCTGATTATACATTAGACTGCTTGCCCTCAAATTCCAACTCGCGAGCGGAAAGTCTAGAGCTCTCTTCAACAATGTTAAAGCTCGGCACTCGACCGAAGATCCGCTTTCACCGCGATCATCTGGGCCTGATCTCCCACATCCATCCAAGCAACGGTGGAGGGGGTGTGGTCCAAAGCAGAGAACAAGGGTTCACTCACACTCTCTGTGTGTCTTCTTCCTATGCGGGAGCACCGCGCGCACACGATTTTGGCTGGGGCCGGTGGGTGTCCTTTGTCCTGTCAGACGCGAATAAACTTTTCCCGACGAAGCAAATAGAAGAGTCAAATCAGAGCGCCTGGAGCGTTGCCGGGGCCCCGCTATGGCCAGAATAGGTGACACTATGGCAGATGAATAATATTGATCAAATACCTTGGGATACTTTCTATACAGGCACATGTGTTTTATTTGACAGGCTGCAAAGAAAAGAGCTGCCCTAGGAAGGGGAGGGGTAGCTTGGGGGGGCATTAGGTATTTCTGGCAGGGGACTGGATGTCTCCTCCCCACCTCCAAAACCAGCCAGACCTTGTTGCTACTACCGGCTCGTGCCGTAGTAGGGTAAGAGGCAAGGGAAAGCTTCGTGCCAAAACAGCGCGGAAGGGGACAAAATATGTGTTAGTTTTATTTTAGCATTTTTGGAAAGCGTCGGGTCTGTCTCTAGTCCAGTGGCATGGCACTGCTATCCCTTTGGGTCCTGATTACATTATACGTACAATGTCAAACAAGTGGCAGCCTTAAAATCTCACACTCCATCTTACAGTATAACGGTTCGAAAGGCTGCATGGCAAGTGCCTGTAAGATCGGCGCGAGCGCGGGGGAGTTTCCCACGGCGATACCCTATAGCCTCGACCCATCATTGGAGGTCACGCACGAACTTTGAACCCTATTGGGTTGACTGGCGAAAATTCAAAAACAATCAAAGAGGCGGCGGTGGGTTGTATAATCAATTTGGAAAATGCTGCTGCTTGCTCATATGCACAACTAACTCTCTGGTAACTGCGCGCATAGATTACTAGGCCCCTCTGCAGTGGATTCGAGCTAGGTTACAGGTAACCATCTTCCGCAATCTAGTTATGCCGATCAATTTTTGGTCGTAGCGATCTGGCCCCCAGATCGTCTCTATATTTTATGATGTGCAATAAACACTCTTAGCAATTGTCAAAGAAACGCTGCATCCCAAGTGTACAGTTTAGTCACTGGCTATCCGACTAGCCTCGATATGCCTCAGCTAGGCGATGCATATTATTAGATGAGATAATCACCGTTGAAGCGGTATTCCGAAAGCAGATAGCCGTGATTTATACCACGGCATGTTCCAAACGACTCTCGTCTCACCGAGACAAAAGCCAATTCATTGCGAAATTTCATCATATTAGTTCAATTCTACAGCGTTTTATACAAATTCTGGATGTATAGGTGCTGAGAATCATGATGCTAGAAGGGGATAGTCCGCTAAGCGATATTGGCCAGGTAGCCACGTCGGGCTGCATGATGCTGTCAGAAAATAGCCAAGCATTCGTGAGTGCAATCTGTGATACAGCAGAAATGTGAAGGCCGAGGAAACAGGCGCATCCTATCCCCGTGATATAGAAGAAATTGAGACTAGCCTTATTGGACCTTGCCGAGATCCTCAGCACGCCTCGTACTTTTCATGTCTGGGCGCATCTCCGAGTTCCGACTATAGTATCATGATGATAACAAGTACTTGCTATACGCCTGTCTCTGCCCAGATCTGGCTCCGTACTACACCTTGGGCACCCAGTACCACCTTGATGACACCATATTTGCATACATCATGATTGACCGGTACCCGTATCCTTCAACAAGAGTTATTGAATTCACGTTTTGAGAAACTGCGCAATTGATCGGCGCAGACACGAGGTCGGTTGATGGTTGACTGCCTTTCCCAACGGGCGAGCCGCCATGCCGCGCCTTACCACCCGCGCACTTTTCACCTCTTTCTCACCTGGTACAGCATTTCGGCAGCAACGTTGGGAATGACAGTTACTGCCGGCCAATCGGCCCCGAGGAAGGCGAGGTGTTGTTACCCTGCATGAACGAGCCAAAATCCCCAATCCCCTGGGAAAAGGGCCAAGGGCGGCGAACCAGAACAGCCTGGTCCGTCCCCCGCGCGCGCCAAAACGCTCGCATACTCGTGCAAAGCTACCGAACGAGGGTCAAGCCGAGTGGGTAGGTAAGGTGGAGGCAAAAGGGGCCCACAAGGCAGAGAGAAAGAGAGAGAGAGAGAGAAGGTAATAAAGGTAAGCTACCACGGTACATGTCGATACTTTGGACAGACTTTGATGCAAGCTTAGAGGTTCGCTTGACGCCATGCTCCTTCGAGCCAAGAGCCCTACTGAAGCAGGGGTCTCGAGCAGCAGTGAGCATGCCGCATCGGGGCCGTTCACTTGGGATATCAGAAGGGCCCTGAATAGATATAACCTTGAGGTTGCCCCCTTGCATCGGACTGGGGACTTTGATTTCCTATCCGTACACATTCAATTATCGACAACCGCAGCCGTTGCAAAGTCACAGACAAGCCACGCTGCGTTTGTTCGCAGCTTCATATTACTCATGATCCGTAGTGGTCCCGCTCAATAACATTTGCCAAACATATTATCGCCTTGGTTGTATATATATAAAAAGAAAACAGTAGTCTCGCTATGGACAAATACGACTTCCCGTTACCGCCCAATTCATTTCCATGCTTGTACCAAGAGTCAGAGTCATCACAAGAGCCATCTACACCCACAAGTCCAATGGAGTCAACTGTACGAATAAATCCCACTGCTTGGATTATTCTTACAAGTTTTGCAGACTGACAGACCCTGACAGTATATATCATACCCGGGCATAGACCCTACCTTTGATCATGGCGACATTTCTGCAGAGTCTACGCCGTCAGAGTCTTCCCAGGGAACCACACAAAAGCCGAAGCGGAAACGAGAGAACAGATATAAAAATGCTCCCCCTTCAGTATTATCTGTGAGTACCACCGTGAAGACGAGCTATAGCCTCATTGCCCAGCCATCCTAACATGATCATTCCAGCGTCGGAGGGCCCAGAACCGCGCTTCACAAAGAGCATACCGGGAGCGAAAAGACCAGCGCATCAAGGACCTCGAGGACCTCCTTAATGAGGCACAACAGAGAAACGACGTGCTGAGCCAGGCCTATGCGGGCCTGCAGGCAGACTTTATGAAACTAAAGAGCGAGCAAGATCTCGCTGCCGCGGTCCAATACCAGCAGCTCGGCATCAGTTTCGATCCCACCATGACCGGACCACCCACCACAAGTCAGATAGACGGGTTCGAATCCGAGCTCTACCTGTGCGAAGCACCAACAATGTACAATATTTAAACGACCTAATGACTTACACCAAAGACCTGACAAGGCAGCTATTCGCCTGTTACAATACCAGCAAGTACGGCTGGAGAGGCCAGGATACGAAACTACACCAAGATGAAGTGTTTGAATGGGAGTTGGGCGTTTTGACTGGGCTTATACGCCCAAGGCGGCATAATTACAGCTGGAGATAGCTCATCATACAAGGCAGTGCGCCCATCTACTCAAATAATGGAACATCATACTGTCAAACAAACGCTCTTGTGTGTGATAACTCCAGTTCAAGCTAAAGTTGAACATTTCTCACGCGGAAAAATGTGAAAGAAATTGCGCCGTTCCTTGAAAAATCCAGAATTCTCAACAAACACATGCAAAGGACAAAAAGACAACCCAAGACTAACGGTGCAGCCCCATGGCCAAAGTGATGGGCCGCTACTGTATAGTCAAACCTAAGCTCACCTCGTCCTTGGGACTTGGGTCGTTGGTGAGGCACATCTGAACCTTGAGAAGATCCCCTTTTGTTTTCTGTCTCCCTCCTTTCTCCATGGCTGGTTGGTAATCGGTCCCGAATTTTCGCTTCTTCTTTGAGATTATGCACGACAGCACAAGATGGATCGGCCAAGCCGAGCGTTGCAAGGGGCTTGCATGCATGCATGCCTCTATTCACACAAACTCACATGGAGGCTGCTTTGAAATTTTTCCTATAATGACCCTTTGATGTTGGGGACTTGGTGCACACTGCTACACTGCGCCATAAACATGAATGGGATCGCCATTCTCATTGCTTGCAAATTCGGACCTATCAACGGTCTAGGCCTAGGCCTTGTGCCTCTCTAGCAAACAGCCAAGGAGGACTAAACATTCGCTGCGACTGACAAGTCGCCCATTCGACTTCACACAACTTCTTCCCTTGGCCCTATGACAACCTCCAATACCCGAGGGCGGAGCTCCCATCCAGTCACGTCTTGACTCTTTGGGGGGCGGGGAAAGGCGTATATCAAACCTTGTCCGTCCTCTTGGGGGAGGGGGGAAGGTGCTGGGACGAGCTACGTCTTGATTTGTTCCCTTACTCTATCTCGAGATCCCAACGAGAATATTGTGGCTTGCAGGCGGCGACCGTCTTCCGGAAAGCGTCCCCGCAATACGTCAACTCGCGACTAAACTTTCCGCGATCCTGCCTTGTCTAAACTCTAGCCATGCATGTCTGGACTGGTCCATTCTCTGCGCCCCTCGTTGCTCTGTGAAAGAGATTGGGACTTCGTGGGGGAATTTACCGACCAAGGTCCCATGGCCAAACGCCACGCCAGGACCAAAGAGCTTTGCAACTGGCTGATTTCTCTTTTTTGCCATTAAAAGACCCTACCTAGGGCTGATTGCTAAGACGATCTCGGCCGAGCCCTTCATATAGGTTCATGGCGCGATCTTTAGTAGGCAGACTGCACGAGCGGGAAAAGTTGAGGCGACGAGATACTGCTAGCATAGGCAAGATATTTACCACCGGCACTGCGTACGAGGTATAACGGATTAAACCGAAGCAACACGGGCAGCGATACTTGACATCATAGAACCAAAAGAGGAAAGGCATGACGATGCAGCGCATCACAGGTCGGTCTATCCGACAAGTCTGAGCCGCCAAAACTCACAATCAACACATGACATGGTCCTGGAGGGAAAGGATTAAGCAACACAGGAAGGAAATTATAGAAACTGCATTTATTGTGTGGCCAACTGTACCTGCTGCCTACTCACAAGATCGCATTTCGCTATCAACCCAAACTCGGCGTTTAGACACGCAAAAGCCGCAACGGCCCTCCATCGGATGAAGCTTGGAAAAGACCGTTTCAGACTAGATTTGCTCAAGGCTGAGTCAAAGAAACGTCGATCTCCGCCAGATTCCGCAAAAACCCATACCAGAAAGCCATCCTATTCATCGATGGCCTAAACAAGTCCAGCCTCTCAGGGCTGAACGCCTCCCGCCTTGCCGGTAGATGCAAGGCCCTAGTTACGGACTCCTTCCGCACATTAGATAATCACCAACTCACAACTCGGTCCAGTTGTGCTCATGCATGATACATTTTCGTGGCCTCATTCGTGTCATGTCTGGCCATCGGGCAAGACAGTCATGAGCTTACAAAGGCCCTTGGCTGCTGCCTTTTCTTAGTCGTGTACCATTACTCTGGGTTGGCAAGACCGCCGCGGGTTCCGCGAAGAGTCTCCGAGTTGATTCCCTCGATGATGTAGGTCGGGCGTCCGTCGATGTTGCGGAGAACAATGTCTCGTCCATCCCAGGTGTGACCCAAGCCAGCAAAGTAGTCGAGCTTTCTGGGGTGAGCCGATAGAAAACCGCGACAGAGCATGAAGAACCAGCCTCCGACAAAGAAGAACGGAAGGCCTAGCCAATTTTGGTCCTCGTGCATGTTGCTCAATCCCACCTGGAACAATGCATTCAGAACAAAGTTGAAGAAGACGATAGCCAGCTGCTCAATGACGGCCATGAGACAGAAGAGTGCGCAGATGTGCTCTCGCAGGACCATGTTTGCCATGCTTGCTCGGATGAGTCCGACAACAGGCAAGCCCGCAGCCGTGAGAGCGACACCAGCTGTGGCAACGCCAAAGGAAGATGCCACGCCAGTAAGCATCATGCCGACGGGAATCAAACCGATGAGCACTTTGGCTAGAAACAGGTCTCGTTTGAGTGGGTTCTGGGTGGGCCAGGATAGGAAATAAAGGGGCATGACTAGCATGAAACCAGAAGATATCTCCACAGCTTGAAGAAAGTCCAGCTTGGACAACACGGTGTCGTCCTTGCCATAACGTACTTGGATGTACTGGCCCAGAATTCCCATCGAAGCGGGAACCATGGGTCGAACAAGAACGCCGACCAGAACAATCTCAACCATGCCTTTGGTGAATTTGAGGTAGTTGCATGAGATGCGCCAAGAGTTCTTCAGCTGGTGACGCATGGACCTGGGTGCCTCGGTGGCGGCATAAGCATCTCGCGGAATTCCAGAAGGCGGCTCCATGGGATGGGCAAACTGCGGGGGGAAGCGCATCTTGGGCAGTAGGAAGACCAAGCACATTGCCAGGGCAATGAGGTGAGATCCAGTCCACAAGGGAGACTGAAGTCCTCCAGACTGCATCATGAGCCGAGCAATCATGGATCCCAGGGGTCGGGGTAGCAGGATGGAGCAGGACGCCAGCTGGAAGGCGATACCACTACAAATGGCGTTGTTAGTCGCAAAAGAATACATTGCGATAAAGGGTATTCGTGCTTACCGCCACTCGCGCTTCCAGACGTCGTACATGATGGAAAAAACCGTTGCCTCGACGATTCCAACACCGCCGCCAAAAGTCAAGACGATACTAGTAAGGATGTCGGGGACAGACTGTTTGGCGACGATGACACCCAAGTTGATCAGTGTCTGGACCAGAACGCCAGCAACACTAGCAAAGAGGACCTATTTCTTTGCATAGTTGTTGCTAAGCCAGGCAAGGAACAGTGCGGTGACAAGAACTGCGCGATAAGTCAGCAAAGCTTACATTTGATTGTGGCAACAAGTTGTTCTGAGAGGACGGCCAAACTCACCGGGAATGACAGAAGCCAAACCGCGGACAAGGTTGATGATGTTGACTGTACGTGCTATGGTTAACATGTATCCTTTCAGAAAGCAAAGGATCGAAAGACACGAACCATGGTACTGAACATCGGGAGACATGCAAAGAGCAGGCTGGGCATTCGAAGTGCCAGCGCCGAAACCATTGTCGCAGACAGTGTTGCGGATAGTGTTGGCCAGAGGAATGTTGCTCAGGACGAGGCCCAACTGGAAGAGGAAGCTGGCCAAAGAGAGCATGGCGATTGCCTTTACCATGTGCCAATCGAAAGCAACTCGGCGATTGCGGTAGGCAACGCGAGCGCGTCGCTCACTGTCGCCGAACATGGTGAGGATGCGTTCGGCGACGGCGACAACTTCATCATCTGCCGGCGGCGACGACATGGTGTTGGTTCTTGTGCGCGGTTCGTGATTGTGATTGTGATTGTGATTGATGTGATTTGGAGGGAGTGAAAGGTGAGAGTGAAGAAATGGGTGAGGGGAAAAGGAGGAAGAGGGGAACGTTTGTAGTAAGGCAGTTGCAAGAATTTTTCTAGAACGTGTCTGTTTACCTTGGTGGCCAACCGAAGAAAGAAATCGAGAGAAAAATCAGCCAGCTGCCTACAAACGGGAGGAGTGCGGCCTGATTAATGAAAACTTGTTGATAGTGCCTATGTACTGATTGTTCCTGCACATTCCGAGTGACATTCACAAGAGGGAACTGATTTCACGTCATTTATTTTTCATTCTTGATGTGCTAGAACAATGGCCTAGAGTCAATATGGTTGAATTCTCTATACTGCAGCTCCAGAATAGTGTCAGCCCTGGGCACGATCTACAGCACAATTGCCCCTTCTTTGCTAGTAGACGTCGATCGCCAAGGCACTTGGGAGCCGCATACTTGCCATTATAGGGAACAAATGAACACCCTCCCTCAATCTCGGATTGATGCAAATGAACATTGACGTTGGCCATTGTCATGTTGGATTGTCGCTTCCAATGACTGTCATCACCTGTAGTAGGCCAAAAACGAACTGCTTCAGTGGTTATTGTCACTGGCTCCTCTTTTATTATTCAACAACCCTTGACACTGACTGCCTCTGTGAGCACGACGACAACATGTCCCAAAAAGTGAATTATAGTAATTCCAATCACTCATGCGCCTGCCATGGCCGGCAAACTTATGTGTGGGCATGCCTTTTCTCTTCTCTTTCTACAAACTCGCACGCGCACAATTAGCATACGGTCCGAAAGAACCGGGGACAAACATCTTGAAGGAATCAGCATACATGACTCAATTTCCACAATCATCAAGATACCCATTTTTTGTGTCAACTTTGAGAGGCAACGAATGCCAAGCGAGCTAGGCCTCGACCGTTTTTATTTCCCCCCATCGTGGTTCGATGTCATGTTAAGCTTCTTTTTTAGCCCCCCATGCTACCAGGGTGGGTTTTTCGGCCAATGAATTCAGGGTTCCAGGTCGGTTGGTCGGCCGTGATGTCCGAATCGAGACGCATGGATACGACCTCACCCTATCCACGCGCCTGAGCGGCGCATATAGAATCACCAAGATAGGCGTGCCATGGCTAGGCTCCCGCCTTGAGCCCCTGTGACTATTCACACTTCCACAAATTAACGCTTTCCCAGTCTGGCCGTGGGTGCCCACACGTTTCTGCAGGGGAAGCAGTTCGCGCATGATCTGACAGTCTATACAACCAATGGGAGAGCGAGGACAAAGTTTCTCTCTGTCCATGTCGTATCTGGACATGACTCTATTCTACGCCTCTCGACTGCAGCGAATAGTCTCGATTGGCGGCTTACCGTACCTGCATAACAGACAGCCATGAGGTCGTCGTCGATGGAGTAGGCCGCCGAAAAGGTCTCTGCAGCAATGGAACAAAAGCAGGCACCAGTCCCCTCTCCTGATGAATCACACTCTTTTTCTTTCTACCCGACTTCGAAATCGTCAAGTTCCTCGAGTCAGAGTCCCCACGCGATTCCGACGTATTACACGTCATTCCACTCATTCTTTTACCTCTGTCCATCCATTCTTGGATAAACTATTGCCATAGCCATGGCTCGTTCGCTCATCAAGACTGTTGGCTTTGCTGCCGCCGCTTTTGCTGCTATCGCAGACGCCACCAAGTCATACACAGTCACTGACGTGTACAATGCTACTAATTTCTTCGACAAGTTTGGTCATTTTGTGGTACGTAAACAAGTTTTGTATTGATGCTCTTGGCTTATCTATCAACTGCTGACGATTATTCAGAGTGTCTTGGGCAAGACTCCTCTCGATGTCGACCCAACCTCGGGCTACGTCCAATATCTTGATCGCAGCGATGCCCTCAAGGCTGGTCTAATCTCCATCGACGACGATGAGGTGTATGTCGGCCCTGAAACAAGTCTAAATTATGATCCCTATGGTTACGGTCGGGAGAGTGTAAGGCTGGAGGGTTTGACTACGTACAACCACGGCCTCTTTATCGCCGACTTTACCCATCTGCCCACACCAACCTGCGGCGCCTGGCCTTCCTTTTGGATGTTTGGCGATCCATGGCCCACAAAGGGAGAGATTGACATTGTGGAGAATTGGAACAATCTCGAGTTCAACCGCAACACGGCTCACGTCAACAGCCCCGACGTCGTCGGCGAGTGTACAATCAAGTCTTCCGACATGACTGCATCGCTGATTGAAGCCCACAATTGCTACGACAAGACTCCTGGACAATACGACAACCAAGGTTGTTCCGCCGACTCGTATGGTTTACCTTTTGGTTTGAGTGAGGGAGGTGTGTATGCTCTGGAGTGGACGAGTGATCACCTCAAGATTTGGAGTTGGACTCGAGCGTTGACTCCCCTCGACGTCACGCTCGGCAAGCCACTACCTTTGACTTGGGGTGTTCCCAATTTCATGATTACAGACTGCAACATTGACAAGGCCTTCCAAGACATGAAGTTTGTTTTCAACATAGACTTTTGCGGTGTCGCCGGGGCTGATGGTATCTGGGACTCATGCAAGGCCTCCACTGGCTATGACACTTGTACCGGCTATGTTGCAGAGAATCCTGAAGCCTTCAAGGACTCGTATTTCAAGATTGCAGACATCAAGGTCTATCAGCAAGCAGATGATATCGTTACGACTTCGTCCACTTCGAGTTACACGACGACTGCTTCCTCGACTACTTCCTCGACTGCTTCTTCTTCCTCCACCGCAACTTCCTCTGCCGAGTCGTTGACCACGACAACTGCGGCTAGCAGCATTGCAACGACTTCTATTTCTATCTCCTCCTCATCTCTTTCGACAAGCTCAATCACCAGCTCAAGCAATAGCTCAAGTGCACTGGCCACTGATAGTGCTACCACTTCTGCATTTACTAGTCCTTCGACCCAAACCAGCACGGCTTCATCATACGGACCGTCTTCCGAACCAGTTACCAGTGCGACCCTTCCGATCTCGACTTCGTCGACAGTCTACTCCACTGACAGCGAGATCATCACGAGCTCTTATTCGGCAACTTTGCCCACCACAGTGCCATCATCGTCGGCGTATACTTCTTCCTCTGCAACCTTGTCTGTTTCCGAGTCTTCAAACTACACAATCACGAGCGCAACAAGTGCTACAGCCTCGAGCCTCCCTGCTACTACCCTCTCGCACAGTTCTTACAGCAACACCACTACCTGTACTGATGACCAAACGGCGACGTACTCGACTGCCAATGCGACCATCACCACAACCTCGGCTGGAAGCTCCACCTCGTCCACGGTGCTTACATATTCGGCCTCCGAAACAGCGTCCTCCAGCACGTACTCTAGCTCAGCCACTGATGCAGTTCCCACCTCTTACGAAGCATCGGCAACAGAGAGCTCAGCCGACGTCACGGAGCCAACCACGACATCCGCAACCGAGTTTACGACCTCTACAGTCTACACCACACGGGTGCAAACCGTTACCTCGTGTGCCCCTACCGTGACCAATTGCCCAGCACGCAGCAGCCCAGTCGTTGTGACCGAGACCATTCCACTCTACACCACGGTCTGTCCCGTCACGGCAACGGGTGCGAGCACCCACAAGTCTGAAGCATCTGGCACTTCCGTTCCCTACAGCGCAACGACTCCCGAAGTCGAGACAGGCGCCACTGTCTCAGCTACCAAGAGCACACCGACAAGTGCCAGCAGCAATGGAGGCCAGGGTGAAGGCGGCAGCGGAGGCGGTAGCTACCAAGTCGGCGGTAGCACCAGCACCAAAAATAGCATCGGATCCAAGACGACGACTCTCGAGGGCACCACCACCACAACCTCGACACTCCGGCTGTACACGACCGTCACGGTCAAGTCCTCGTCCGCTTCCGTCTCCAGCGTCACCGTTTCCACGGCCCTCTCCGACTTGGTTGTTGTCGTGACAGCCACGGCCACATTGGTGCCCGTGTCGTCTGGGCATAATGCCACGGTGTCGTTGTCTTATACCCCAGAGACTACCGCCAGTGGCTCTGCCGGTCATGGTGGTGGAACATCGGGATCTGGCGTCTCCGTGAATGGGGCTGGCAAGACTGGTATCACGACCCTAAGTCTGCTCGTCATGGTTGGTGTATTCATGTTTGCAATGTAATCTTTCATCTCTCAAGGGGATTAGATAATTCTAGAATAGGCTTGGTGTATCACATAATTTATAATCCATCGAGTCCGAGAAACTCGCAACAACTTCTTTCGTTTCAAAGCATCTCTCATGGCATGGGTTATTTCCCTCCGTTCCGTGCTCCCCCACTGTCCGCCCGATATTTCTCATGCAGTAGCAGGCATCGTCCACGAACCCCCCAAATCCTCTAGATAGACCAGACTATTCATTTCCATGTCCACCCGCGCCACCCACCAATTCCCATCCTCGCCGAGGACATAGCGCACAACATTAATCCCCCTGACACTCTTAGCAGCCTCCCCAAACGCCGCCGTCCACGTCCACACGACAGCATCGCAAGTAACCGCCACGACGTCGCTCACCACCATGGGCGTGCCTCCATGGCCCGCCTGCGCCGCCTTGAAGGCCTCGCGGCCCGCAAACGTCTCGCTGCCGGGGGGCCTACCCATCAGGCTGTTGATGCCGTCGCTGTAGTCGGCATAGTCGGGCAGGAGGAGCGCGTCGGCCTTGGCGGCCGTGTAGTTGCCCACCAGGTCGGCAAACTGGGCGGCGAGTCTCGCGCCGTCGGCGTCGTCGAGACATGTGTCGCTTCTCTTGTTGAAAATCGACAGATTCTGCGAGGCAGAAGGAAGAGAGGACGGAGCAGCGAGGGCGGCACCTGCGCAAGCTAGGAGAGCGGATAACGAGAAGATGGGCTGCATTTTTCGAGCGTTTTTATCTGAAACGATAAAATGATAATACTTCACTTTCAAACATGTATGCTAATACTAAAGTTGAGAACGGCGGGGAGGCCTCGGTTTTGTATGATGATCCTATCGTGAAGGATTTGACGGCACAAGAGTGAGGCTGACCTGCTGAGCCGCTCTGGACAGATCTTTGCTTCCTGCCAAAGCTCGACTGACTGTCAACTAATACAGATCAAGACACTGAGAATCTGGTCTTTTTCAGCTAAGAATGAAAAGTCCTCTCTGGCTGACAACATGGCCCTTTGGAAGTCGATGACCAGATTTGCCAGGTCCACTTTTGCCTGAGATCATGTTGCTGATTTGCTCTTGCCAACAATGATGACTGTAATGATAGACTTCCATAGTATCAATTTCTACAGCTACGAACCACAAGTAGCTAATATATATTTATTTCCAAGGCATTCCTCGTCCCAGCCATGAAGCTAGTATTGGATGATAGGTCATTACGATCTAGGTAGGCGCGATTGCCGAGAAAAGGGGTGAGAAATTTCAAGGGATGAATTACGCCCAGAGTTTATCAAAAGCAATCATTAAGCTACAGACAGTAGAGTAACTATGGCAATAGAAAGACTGCCCTATCAAGAGAACTATGGTTCCGAACAGGACTAAACGCAAAGAAAAGTCAAGCGTGCTAATAATGTCAGTCCATGATGCCCAACGCCAGGCATTCCATCACGATGAGGAAGTTCGCTTGCGCTTCTTGCTTTTCTGCTTTTTCTCCTTCTTATCCTTGTCCTCCTTCATCTTCTCCTCTGATGCTTTCTTCTCCACCAACTCTGTAAGGCCGTGTATCGTGTTTTGGTGCTGTTGTTGCATGAAGTCCCAATTTGCCCGGCGGCGCTTTCTCTTCTGGATATGCAGAGGTGATTCATCTGATACAGAGTCGATGAAGAGGCCAGGAACCATTGCTATTAGTTCCTTGGGACTCGGATGTTCTTGGATCCTCTGTAAAGCCTTGCGTGCAGATGAAGCTGTGAGGAGGGACCGGGAGATGTATAGTTTCGAGGGAGTTAGGAGTCTATCATAATACCACCTAAAGAGATCTTCATTGTCCGCAGATATGACAGACTCAATGGGCTCCCACGAGCACTCCCATGGTTGAAAACGAGATGTGTTCTGTACCTCTACTTCAATGGTAGATTCGCTCCGTCTCAAACCGAGAATGTCGAACGCACGCCATGTCAACATGCCCTCGGCATTATACTTGTTCTTGGTTCTCTGGATGACTCCACTGATATCGACAGCCTCCTTTTTGCATTTCTGCCGTGTGCGGCTCGAGACTGTGCCAGATGTGTTGTTGAAACGATCGAGTTCCATGCGATCTTCACCCGGGAAATCAATTCGACTATGCTGAAGTGCTTCCCGGAGTTGTTTCTCAGTGGGATTGATGCGAGTGCTATGTCCATCTCTCTCTGCTCTCTTCCAACGCTGTTTGAGGGATGCGACAGCAACCCTGGCCCGCGTAAGCAGTTCTGTCTGGTCAGCTGTCAGAATCTCCGTTGGGAGAGGACTTGTGTCGGTAAGATCGACCTCCGTTTGCAGCTTTTCGAAAGGGCCATGATGGTAGACCAATATTGGATCTATGTGTGATATTCTCCTCATGCTTGGGTCCAATTCATCAGATGCTGCAGCATTGATGAATGTCGTGAGGAGGAAGGTGCCTACCGACGGTAGGCCGTCCCAGTACTTACGCATACTAACACGTATTCGCAGATGACGGAGATCATGACAAAAGCTGAGTAGAGTAGACAAATGTTGAAAGACCTTCACATGGATCTTCAGGTGAAAAAGGTATCGGATTCCATGATCGCCGAGGTCAACATTTGGGAAGAATTCGATGATGCCAGCATCGAAGCCACGACAATAAAAATTTGACAACTTGATGTCTCGAATCAATGCACGTCGCGTAGGTGTGAGTGCCGCAAGAAATTGGAGTAAGACACACGGTTCATCGAACTCGAATTTGTTGACACGGTAGAACACTGGGTTGAAGTTGAGATCAAGGTAGATCTGCCGACTGACCCGTGTGAGGCGAGATACGAACATTTCACGCCTTGTGGCTATGGAACCCGGTTGATGGGCAAATTTATTCGATCGAGCCGCGATTTGCTGTACGTGAATTGGTTCAACCTCTGACAGAGCGTATTCGTAGATCTTGAGTCGAATTTCGATGGGCAAGAGCCGGAAGAAGGGCGCTTCTGCATTTTGTCTGGTTGTGGCGACATTTGGATGAGAGGGATCCTCTACATCCTGTAAGGGCGCCATGATTTCCACCCAACAAAGCGTCTGTGCCCAGTGTGAAGGCTTTTGTTTGTTTGAGCGAAACCGTAGTCAGGCGGTAGTTGGTTTGGTCCGGTGGGCGAATGAGCCAAAACGGGAATGAAAGTGCGGATGCTGATGCCGATGGCAAGTGCTGCTCTATGGTGTTATGATGGGATTTGTGTACACCGAGTGAAGAAGGTGACAATCTTTGACCATGCAGGTCTAATTGGGGCTGAGGGTGGATGCTGCCAAAAGACAGTCACAAGGAAAGAGGTACGGTGAGTTTCTGGGCGGCGAGTGACTACTCTTTGGCTTTTGCCTGAATGACTAGACGGCAAGCAGGGGGAAATAGTCGAGAAGACGGCGCTGAAGATGAAGTGATGGAATATTTCTTTGTCTGTGCACTTTGGAAAGACACACGCGTCCTGAAGAAGGAGAAGACACAGGTCAAACGCGTGGGATGATGTCGGAACTTGCTCACACGTTTGATATGCCAGGAATTATTCCTGCCACGGACGGCAGTGAATAATGTGCTTGAGCACTCCAGGCGGCGGCGGTCGTGGTGGCGGCAACAGTAAGAACAGGTCTGGCGGCCGTGAGTGAGGGAGAAGATTTGTTGGTGGGTTGAGTGAGAAGAAAGGCAGGAAGAAGTCGCCGTTTTGTAATTTCTTGTCACTTGTTGGACTTGCCTTTGCGGCGAGCGGCGAAGCTTGTGAATTTTCTGTTGAGTGGCCCGCCGCTCGTTTGCACTTTTGCACCTGCCTAGCCCAAGTAGTCTGCTCAGGCTTTCAATAAATTAGGTAGGCAGGCAGACAGCTGATTGTGTAGGTACCTAAATTGGTTGGCCACATGCGTCTGGTCGCCGAGATTCCTGGGATAATCATGGAGTAATCATTGGAGGCGCCGCGTTTGCACTGGGATGGACAGACAATCAACTTGCAGCCAAAGACAAAAGCCTCGTGGAAGCCTCAAGTCTTTTAATATTGCTCTACTCAGCCATTTACATAAGCCGCGGGAGGCGCACCCTTTCCATCAAGGTAGACAAGATTTATACATTTCCAGCATACCTAGTCTGCCCACTAATAATTGTAGCTGTTGCAACATGTCTAGATGACTAAGTTCTTTCCATCTCTTTATATCAATTATGTTGATCAGGTTCGATCCGTTGAAACCTCGGTAACTAATGGTAACAATGACTCTTGCCAATCCGAGGACCTGCCTTTCTCATTGCCTGGATACCTCCACTGCCTCAGTTATTGCCTTCCTCTCTGCCCGAAAGATACTGAGGCATCTCCTCCGGTCTGATATCGTTGGAGCCTGGATCTCATGTCCATCTATGAAAGAATCAAGATACACGAATATGTGTCATGCTTGTTCAAACAAATCAAGGTATTCATTGAGTTTCATCCAAAGGCAAGTACACCTCATCTTGTTGCAAACCCAAAAGAAGGGGCCGAAGTGTCAAAATCGTGGCTACCTACTAGGTACTCAACACTTACCCGTTTTCACATCAAGGTCTGCGCGATGGCGAAGGAAGGAGATCAAAATAGGCTCAGTAGAATAACCCAGTTCGAACTGTGCCTGCACTTATGCCACAACGCTCCTGTCTACATTAAATTCCAACATATTGACGTGGCAGCTGAAGAAAATGGAGTCCCAAGACCGCCCCATCATGATCACTGAAGTTCGCATATCAAATATTGACAAGGGAGCCAAGTAAATGTGATAAAATATTGTGTTTTTTGATGAGTAATTTACAACGTCGAGACCGACGCGTCTTGGATATTGTGTGAACGCAATTTTCGGTGTCCTTGCAAGTCCTGCTTGAACATCACCGCGACATCATGGTGCCATATCTATATAGGTTTATCGTACAATCGTCCCAACTTTCTTCGCGGCTATTGACTCATTGCAGGTAACTTGCAATGGTTTTAGATTATTAATTTACCGCTTTCGCCCAAAAAAAAAAATGAAAGAAAATACATCGTCTAGGTCGTCTTTCATCACCTTTCAGTGCGTAACAACGCGAACAGCTTGAAGCATGATGCCAAAGAACAAGCCTCGTGCAACTTCCTCAATTTGGAGGCAGTCAAACAGCCTTCCCAGCGCCTCGCTTGTGGCAGATTGACCCATGATGCCCATGAGTGCTGCAGGCACGCTACTTTGGATGAACAGTTTGCGGGCCTTTGCTCGCAGCTCCTCCTTCTCCTCGGCAGTCAACTCGGCTGGCCAAGCCTTGCGCTCTTCCTCGGTGGGCAGCGAGTTCTCCCGCAGCTTGCGCAAGTGCGAAGCAATGCCCGCATCGGACGTGTTGGCGTCCAGGACAGTTTCCTGAATGAGTGTCTGAATCGATACAAGGGACGGGTTGCCCGGTCTGATGAGGAAAGACTTTGCAGCTGTGAGCAGGGTCCTTCGGATATTCCAAGCAGAAGACAGAGTGTACAGCTCATTAATGACTGCAAAGAGTAGCTCGACTGCCACTCGTGTCTCCTGTTCAGACAAAGGATGGAATTCCTTCTTGGGCCGTTTTGCCAAGTAGTCACTAACTGATGATCGTTTGTGCTGATGGGATGTCTGAGATTGCGACGGGGATGAGAATGAAGTCTGTGGCGATAGTAGATTGTTTTCACTCCTGGAATACGTGTCACTACTTTGCCGAGTTCCGTTGGGAGAGCCATAGTCATCTGGTATCTCAGAAGGCATGGGCGGGAGTTTCACGTTGGCGAGGTTGCTCTCTGACGGGGACTTCATGGGCGACCGAAGCGCAGCCATGCTGGACGCACGACTATTGCCTCTGCTACTGGTTGCGCTGACCGACTTGCGATCCCACCGATCGTATTGGTTTGGTTGCAGTCCATCCTGCTCAAAGTCAAGCTGGTAGCTAGCTCTTCGATCCATGGGAGGCATTTTCCCCGGTTGGGTCGAGATGATGGAAGATCTCGTGCTTTCCATACTTTCTCGAGACCTGGAAGTAGTTGCTGTGTCCACTCTCGGAAGTGCAGACAATGAGAGGGGTCTGTTTGCGACGCTGCCATTGGTTTTGGGCTCTTCAGATACTTCGTGGACAGAGGAAATGGTCGACTTGCGCTGGCCCAGTCCGATGTTGCCAAGCACACCAGTCACACCACCGACGACTACTTTACCACCGTCAAACAGGCCCTTCGGGGCGGTCTGCACAGCATCCAGCATCCCCTTACCCATCGATTCGAAAGAGAAGCCCCGCTGAGCAGACATTCTATTGTCTTGTCCCTTTTCCAAAAACCTCTTCATGGCTTCCGACTCGGCCAGAGGTTTTTCTGAGCACGCGGCACGCATATATCGTTCAATCTCACCACGCAACGACTCTCGAGTGTGGAGCTTCCAAGCAGCAAACGTAGCATGGGCTTCGAGAAAAGCGGTGGCACCAGAGATAGCCGCTATACGACGCAAGCTTTCGTGGAGTGCTTCAAATTGCGGATATGTTTTCATGATCATCCATCCAGGGTGATGAGACGAAGCTGGCTCAACTTGGACAAGATACTCCCAAGTTGGCTTTGTGCGAAGTCGACTTTTGTCGGTGCCGGGGTCATCCAATATCGTGATAGTTGCATTGTGGAGTGTCAGCGGCGGCGGTCTTCGGGGCTCTTCTTGATCATCCTGAGCAGGCGGGACGATCTGATCAAAGCGCGTGAACCGCGTATGGCTCGGGGCTTGACCTGATAGGGGAGACGGGTTCTGCCGGGAAATGTCCATAGATGACTTTGGAGTGATTGGCAATTGGACTGGCACCTCTTTGCGCATCTGGATTCCAGGCGCCAAGTCACTGATCTGGTCTTTGGCTTCTAGGGATAGCTCCCGGAAAGTCTCGGCCGCAGACTTTGCGCCAATCTGCTGATTCCCCTGAAGATCAAGCTCTTCGGCGTTTGACTTTAATGCATCCTCCAAAAGTTCCGAGGCATTTGAACCTTGCCCATTAGTCGTATTCGTAGGCTTGGACTTTTCGGCCTCGGCGATCATATCGTTCAATTTCTTCATCTCTTCCATGGCCCGTTCCATCTCTTCGTCTGCCTTTGACAACTTCTTCTTGTGAGTCATCTCCTTCTTTCGTGCTCGATCCATTTCGTAGCTATTGCGGTTGCCCTTGGATAAGCTAATGTTGCCGAAATTCCCATCGACATCAGCAAAAGCCTTTTGATCCTGTATAGCCTCGTCAATGGCTTGCGAGAGGTCCGTCTCTCCCGACTCCAGCAGATATACTATCCAGCCATTGAGCCATTCCGCTTTCGAACAAGTTTGCAGAGTTCCTTCCAGGACAGATTGGGCCAGAACCTCTCTCAAAAATATTCTGGCAGGGTCGCAGTCGTAGGTAGACCTCTCCAGGAATCCCAGCAGATCTTCGGCTACCATCTTGAACTTGCTCGCCTGTTGTCTCTGGTTGAGCAGATTGGAAAGTGCAGACTCGGTGTTGGTAGACAGGTAGTTGTAAATGGCGTCAGCTGCGGTAATGGAGCTGTCCGTGGGGACCGACGCATAAGCAGCTGTCATCTCGGAAAAAAAGACTATGATGATCGAGCAGGTATTGGTGAGAAAATCGACAAATGCGTCGGCAGGGCGCTTGCGGCTCAGTCTATTCGAGACGGACAGGAGGAAAGATGTCAAGACTTTGCGGCAAGACAGCGGAAACGATCTATCGGATGGGATGATCGGACCATACCACCAGTCAACGTAGTCACGGATGACAGCATCAACCAAGCTGGTGAGAGCATCCTGCGTCTCGGGCTGAAATTGATCAAAGCTTTGCGCCAGGGCTTGTGAGTCGTCCTCGTCGTCTTGGTCGATTCTGGATGCTGTGGCTTGAGGGTTGGTGTCGAGTAAGCGGTCCAAGAAATCATAACCCTTTTCTCGGCGCACGGCACGCGACACCTCAGGATGCTTTGCTTCATAGGATATGAAGAGGGTGACGCCAGCAAATGCGCCGATCAAAACCAAGCCAATCTGCCCCAGTATAAAGTATGTTACGGCTGCGAGCGCAACGGCTATGCCTCCGAGGGTTCCTGGCGTGGCTGTCGATAAGAATTGAAGGGCCTTAGTCGCCAAATCTTCTTCTTGGGCCACGGGGGTTGCCGTCGTTGTAGCTTGAGCGCGTTCCTCCGGAAGAGCCTCCAGAGGCTTCTCCGTGTGTTCATTCTCAGAAGCATGGTCGGGCTCCATTACTACGGGACTGGCAGTTGCTGCGCCGTCATGCGCATCGTGTTCGGCGATCATGGAGTACGTTGGATTGGTCGGTTGTGTCGGTTAATTGAGATTAGGAGAAGGAGAAGAAGAGGGCATGAGAAGTGGCGTCATGCCCTTTGATAGAAAGATGCGCCCGTCACGAGAGTTGTCAAGTCTAGTAGCCGCGAGAAAATGGAGAAACAGGAAACAAGAGGAGAAAACTGTTCAACGCCAGAAACGCAGACAAATCTGTGAAGGCAGTAGACGCTTTGAGTGAAAGGTGTAGATGTGGAACCGAAATCGAATCCCCCCGTGTTTTGAGCTTGATGCTGGACATGTGTGTCCACTGCCCTCCACAATCGAGGCGGCTCGACCTTTGGGGGAATAGGTGGTGGCCCTGGCGGGATGCTGTCCAAGTTGTGCCAAGAACGTTTCTTTGAGCTAGGGACCGTTGTTCACTCCCCACAAGTCCGTCAATGGCAGTGGCGCCTTGGAAGCCCCGGAGATTTTGTCTGACAGGCGGAAAGGTTACAGCCACAGCACGGGCCAGCGCTTTTAGGCCTGCTAGATCCCTTTCCACAGTGGTGCAGCAGTGGATGATTGAGATGTCGCGTGCTATGAACCACTAGAGGTCCAAACAAGATGCTAAAACAGGGCATTGAATTGTATCAGGAGAAGATGCACCTTTACTTGTCCTTTTGATCATCCTGCGGTAAATAAAGAGGAGTCCTCCACAGGCAGTGAAGCGTAAGTCGGTCGCATATTCAGTTCATCAGCTTCACTATCTATAAAAATATTCATGCCATCTTGCTCCGCTCATTAGAGTAATTGCAAAATGTAACTCTAGCACCTGTATCCTCCCAACTGGGAGACCCAAGAGATGAGGTCACCCAGGGTGGAAATTCAATTAAGCAGGGACCCCTGCAAGGCGCGTACAGACCTCCAGCTCCGAACTCCAACGCGTCAAACCTACCCCCACTGCTTGCATCTACACTGTAATCAATCCTACACGCAGCACAACAGGCACTCGGAACAGGAAGTTCGCGTCTTCGAGATTCAAAATCACAGAGCCGTGATATAGAACAACTAAGACGAGTTCCATCATTGTCTCGACATCGACCATGGCAGGATTCAAGAGCGCCAAGCGTGTTCGCCCGGGCGATGACGATAGCGACGTTGAAGTCCAGACCAAGTCAACCAAGACAGGCAAGAAGGCCAAGACTGGCAGTGGTGATCTCGAGTCCGGCAAAGACAGTGATGGTAATTCTTGGTGGAGTGTATGATTCCCTTCTTGTCAAGATCAACTACAAATCTAGTCTAACAACCACAATGCAGCTCTCAGGCAAGCGTCGTGTAGGAATATCAGAGTTTCAAAAGAAACCTTACATCAATATCCGCGAGTATTGGACCGACAATGATGGTGTTCTAAAGCCCGGTAAAAAGGTCAGACAACCATGCCTCTTGTTCTCAGAGTTCATACCGCAGGGCTAGAATTAGAAGCTGACATCTATTTCCAGGGCATCTCACTTCCCCTCGAGCAATACAATGCTTTGCTCAAGGCGATCCCCGCCATCAATGCCGAACTCGTCGCCCAAGGTCTCGACGTTGCGGATATCCCATCCGGTGCCCCTTCGAAAGCTACCGAGAAGTCTTCTTCGGACAAGAAGTCCAAGAAGTCGAATATCGAAGAGACAAGCGACGAGGACGAGGATGAAGACTAGTACATCCCACAAACGAACCATCATTCACTTTGACGATGGGATGTCCTTTGCCTCTGATATGCAACAAAAGATCTGATGTATCATCACCCTCTCAGCTGAAACAGCCAACGTCTTGGAGGAAGAATAGACATGTCCTCCATCTGATGACACGGGGAGCATAAGAACAAATATGGGCTGGCCCGCTGCGCATGACACAATTCACTGGTCAATTCGAAGACATACACATGTTGTTTGGCATGGCCTCAATTGTCAGCTGCGATTTCTTCGAATGCTTGATATTCCTCATATCGTATATGCGTCCGACGTCTGGCCGATGCAACTCCGCACAGAGAGCGTCTTTTACGACCGTTTTAGTGTCTCACTGCTCTTATTTGCCCGCTTCCACGTACGTACGTCACTCATGGCCATGGCCAGCAATGACTGCGAGGTGGACTCGAGATTCACAAGTCAGTTTTGTTGATCACTAACTATCTTACATCACGGAAATGAATGACGTGTTGGAAAATATCATTGTAGCGTGGCTAGCGAGCTACCAATGTATGTGGTAGAGCAGATGCATTTTTCTCGCCTGCCCTTTTATTTTGACGAAATGTGTCCAATGTCATTTCCAGCTTCATTATCTATAAGCATTGCATCGATCAATCTGGTTACCAACCCAAAAGCAGCCAGATGCGCATATAAGGTCCTTCCTCTAGACGAGAGTGACTATTTATATTTCCTCGATGGCACTCTGGGGCTGAAGAACAGCCCACGATCACAAAATACCACCCACACATTGATACCGGCTCAGCATGTCAAGGCTCTCTACCCAATCCCAGACACATCGCGACTTTGTGAAAAGGATATACAAGGTAGTGTCTGCAGCTCAGCCTCAGCCTGAGCTGCACCCGCGAACGACATGAATGTCATGTCTTTATTTGGATTGTCAGTGGGCATTCTGCCTTTTGAACATGCCTTTGTACCGCTTATATAACTGTAAACACAGAGCTTCGCCCATGCCTGTGCTCTCCTGCATTGGCTACTTGTTCCCACTGCCGAACGTGTATAGCATTGCAAGTCCGAACTCACAATGACTCGAATTCAAGCACCGCAAAACATGTTCAAATCGTCAGCATGGCTTTTGGAGGCCTTTTCAATAGTTGCATCGCGCCTCTCGTTACTTGGGATGGTCATTATATTGGCTGAACACGACGGGAAGCCCATCTTCTCATGGCACGAGATCAACTTGAACACCATTGTTTCCATTCTGTCAACAGCCAGTAAAGGATAGCTGCTATTTGTGGTTGACGCGGCAATTAGACAGTGGAAATGGATCTGATTCTCCTGCGGTTATCCAGCCTTGGTCGATTTTGGCATTATCGACTCCGCCAGCCGAGGACCATTTGGAAGTCTGAGATTGTTGTGGCGGCTCAGAGGCTCGTACTTCTATTCTCCTGTTTTCCTTCGACTTTGCGCTACAGGCATTTCTGGATACGCAGCTGGGCCATTCGCATTGGTGCAATTGTCATTCTCTCCTCTCTAGTCATAGACCCCTTCTCACAATAACTCATACAACTCCGTCAGCACGTAGTCTATACAGAGGACACTGCAACCAGAGTCAATCGCGCTACGCAATATCTAATGATGCAGGCCTGCGTGTCGGGCGTTGTTCTTGTCGATCTCCCTCTGAAATATCAAGCCATCAAAGGGACATGGTTGAGTTGTTCAAGACAGCAATGACATGATGGGCTGATCATTCGTGTATTTGATCAAGAATTGATCAAATAGAATACAAGTCGATGCAACAGGTGTACAATAAAATCACGAGCCTTAATAGAATGCCGAAAGATTTTCCAAACGTCTTGATTTCGGATCAACTCATCACAAGAGAAATTCTACAGCTTGCTCGTCTTGAAAACACCAGCCGCGGCCCCCTTCTTCCCAAACATGGCCCGCAGGTCCCCAATAATCGCCTGGGGCGCCTCCCACGCCGCAAAATGGCCACCACGCTCGTGCGTCTTTTCATAGACGACATGGCCCAGCTGCCGGGACCAGACGGCGGGTACTACGAGGAGCTCGCGCGGGAAGCGGGCCAGGCCGACCTTGACGTGCGGCTGGTAGCTCATCATCTTGTCCCAGAGGTTGCCGCGGTGGCCGTCGGCCCCCGGCTCGTGCGTGTTCTCGTAGTAGAGGCGCACGCTCGCTGCTGGCCCGGCCGTGCTGAACCAGTAGATGCTGAGCCAGGTGCAGATCTCGTCCTCGGTCCAGGGGTATTCGTCGGACCAGTCGTGTAGCTTTTCGTCTAAAAGGAAACAAACCAGATCAGTCCGCAGCAAAAGAAAATGAGGGTTGGTGCTTGGATAGCCTAAAGACACCACTTTGCCATCCAGAAACTTACAAATCCAACTCAGCAGCGCAGCTGGACTATCAGCCAGCGCGTACCCAACGGTCTGGGGTTTAGTAGCCTGAATCTGGTTATAACCAGATCCTTCCTTCTGGAACCATTGCGACCGAGCAAGCCCGGCACGATCAGCATCGGACCAAGGCCGGAGTGCGCTCTCGGCAGCCAAGATCGGATGGCGGAAAAACGACGGCGGCCGGGCCGGGAGCAAGTTGATATGCTGGGCACGGGCGTGCGAAGGGTACAAATGGCCCATGGCCCGCGTAATGGCAAAGCCCCAGTCGCCGCCCTGCGTGGCGTAGCCATCATCATAGCCGAGCTTGAGCATGAGCTTGTGCATGGCCTCCGCCTGCTGCGCAATGGAGAAGCCGCGCTTGGCGACGCCGTCCGAGAAGCCAAAGTTGAGCAGCGACGGCACCACGACGTGAAAGGCCGGGCCGTTGCGGCTGCCGTCGCCCTCGCTTAGGGGTCTCACGATCTTGGTCCCTTCGTAGAAGCTGCCCGGCCAGCCGTGCACGAAAATGAGCGGGATCGCGTCAGGCCTTGAGCTGCGCTGGTGGATAAAGTGCACATTCAGAGTCCCGAAGCCGTCGACGGCAATGGGAGTCGTGTATTGTGGGAACTCATTGAGCTTTGCCTCTGCAAGACGCCAGTCAAATGACCTGGCCCAATATGATACCAACCGTTTGACTTCCTCGAGGGGGATGCCGAGATCCCAGGCAGCTTCTTCCAGTTCATCTGGAAACCTTGACCGCGAGAGGCGGCTCGTCAAATCCGAAAGCTCAGTATCGGGGATAGCAATACGAAATGGTTTGATATCTGTCATGTTGACAAAATCTGTTTTCAAATCCACCAATATGATGTACCAGGTGCAGTAACTGCATGTAATTTGGCCTATATAAGGCAGGACAAATGAGGTGGTGCTAAAAAGGTGAGACCGCCGGGATTCTTATATGCTCAGAGTGACTATGTTTCGATTCCTTATTGGTTGCGAGTTTGTAGCATGCATATACAACCCGCGTCATGTTGGGGTATGAAATAGCACGGTAATATTGAGTAGGTGTTGCCAAGAATACAACTCAGTATTCAAGATGGCTTACCCATATTCGCCAAACCGTGATGCAAAACTATGGATATTCAAAAAATTATCCAATGTAAAAATACTGAATTATACCCATTGCAAGTCGTAGGTTCACTTCTTTTGTAGCAGATCTGCCATCGGCGACGGTACAGTCGGGGCGGGGATGCGGAGTCCAACCGAGGCAGTGGGCATATATGACGCTGAATTATTGTAACGCCGTCATACATGGACTATTACAGCTGCATCGGGACCCCGAGCACCCGCAGAATTATACATTATACCCCAACATTGAATATACCATGTTCTGACTGGTTGGCATGCTGAGATATACCAGCTTCAGTATAGACCAACTCACATTGGACGCAATCCACCGCCTACGCACGTAGTTTTTGCTCAAATATTCATTGTACACTGTGCCAATAAATTCAAGCCGGCTGCTTACTAACTGAGACGTTCTCCCCTGAATATCAAAATGTCTGACCAAGGGCGGGCGGATCTCCCGTCTAGATTCAACGGTCTTCCGAACAAGTATTCCAGATCTGATCTGGAATGTTTTAGATCCCTCAACGGTAGCAAGTACATCTACAAAAAAAGCGACGGTTGCTTGTACTCGGCAGTATTGCGCGTTTCTCAAGAGGGGGTCAAAGAGCATGTCTCGGATCTGCCATTCGAACCCGTGACTTTCGCAACGACATGCTGCTAAATTAATCCATCATGAGCCAATGCCCAATCCCTCGATTTGAAACGACATCAGATTCGATGAGGGAACAAGATGTGTCATCTGTATTGCATTGGGCAGAGCTTTTTGCATGATAGATAACTTCAATCAGATTTGAAAAGAAAAAGAAAAAAAAAAGAATCCGCCTTTCGAGGAGAGGCCGACTCTACCCGAAGACGCCAGCTTATTTGATGGGAAGAGCTTCACAAACCCTCCCATTTTCGTGACACGACAACAAACGGGTCGCTGCGTAAACCAAACATCCCGTTCCCAAATCTCGCCATGGTGGGGAGGAAGGTGTCCTGGGAAGGAGTTTTCGAAACAATCAACGGCTCCAAACTTCACTCTGGTATTTCTGTGTGCAACGGTAATTCTTTGAGGAACTCTTTTCTTTCTTTTTTGCCCCCTTTCCATACTGCCTCGTTCATCGTGTGAGGAAAGGATCATGGCTATCTGAGCACCAGTCTGACAGTCTCTCCGCACTGCGTCGTCTCACGGCATGTACTTCGTACTGGTGGGAAGCAAAGCCAAAGGCGCATATATAAGCACTCTATTGGAATGCCTAGGCATGCTACTGCACTCTTCTTAGGATTACTAACCCTCGAAGACTTGGGAGATATTGCAGGCTTATGGATCCAGTCTCGAGACGAAACCCGCTGAATCCTCTTGTCCCACCATACATCATGTAGCATGTACAACAAGTCTACGGGTGGGGGGGCATTCACAACTAACTCCCTTGCAACCAAAGGGTCTAGCACCAGCTTCTCATTTAAATGGCAGCAAAGACAATTGATCATTTTGAATACTTTCATTTTATGTATTTAATTCTCAATATCTAGAATCGTCTTGTATCAAGCAAGGGCTTTTGGGCTTTCCTAGCGATTCATGACCTGATCCCCTAGAATCATTCCATCCAACACGCCCACAGGCAAATCGCGCCTTTTGAAGAGAAGAAAAATTTGGTCGTTAGGTCATAATCAGAGAGAATCAGCTTGAAGCCTTTCAAGCATATCCCCACAACTGTTAAAATAAAAATGAAAATGAAACAAGTTTTTTGGCCTCGTCATGTCGTAAACATTACCCGCCTTCTGGTTAGGCGGGATTCTCCATGGCTCGATTTCTCGTCGCGCTTGGCATGAAGTAGAGGTCGGAAAATAGAAGAGGGTTGTAAGGGTGTTTTCGGATTTTTTTGAGATCATTAGGGTCCTCCATGCGTTGCATCAATTCGTGAAGCATGTACACAGCCTTGGGGGCATCGCAAAAAAAATCAAGCATGAAGCAAGTCGTCAAGATCGTCGTCGCGTTCTCTAGAGTTTCGCCCGGGGATGGTCGATGCTGAATCGTTGCTCACAAGTACAACAAGAACTGAAAGAAAAGTTGCAAGGGAGTGGTGTCCTAGTCGTAACAGGCGTTTTGGTCCGAAAAGGGGAGATTTCCAACACACCCAAGGAGAAGTAGCACCTCCCCCCGAGCCAAGAATATCCAACTCCCCACCTGTTGGTTACACCATGCGTAATGCGTCATGATCGTAGCAATTGAAAGAAGAAAAATGCAATACGTCAAAAAGTCGGTCGAATGCTGAGTCAGGAGCTGAATCAGTTTGGTGATGGGCCTCGAGGTGCATGTTGCCCGGATATTAACCCTATCGACGCAATGCGGAAGTAACGGAAGCAGGTCGATTCATTGGGTCGAAAGTCGAAGCGGGCATCGTCCCATCAAGAGTCATCTTCCTCCGCTTCATATCGAAACCGCCGCTTCCAGGCCGTTCGTCGTCGTCATCCCGTCCTCGCTTCATGCTGGCCGTAGAGCCATTCATGACGGGCGGAGCGGCATAGCCGTTTTGCATGGCCGACATGTCTTGTGAAGCATAGACGTCTCGGCTGGACGCAATATTGGCGGGGGCTTCAGCGTTGCTCATTACATTATACAGATTACTCGACGACTGAACACGGGGGGGAGAATTGTAGCCCGTCTGCTGGGAATAGTATCCTTGGGAGGGATTGGTGGTTCTCGGTGTCGCACGGCCGGAACCTGCCTGGTGGGCATCAGAGCCACCCAGGTCGCCAGATGCATCGGCAAGAGGAGCCAAGGGCGGTGCATTATAGCCATAACCATTCCTGTTCCCATCGTATGAACTGTTGTGCGTGTATTCGGCTTCGTGTTGATCCTCGTCTTCGGCTGAAGGTTGCGACAGCTGCTCGCCGGTTTGCGATGAATGGATCATGCCATTGGGGGGCTTCACATCCTGCTCGCCAGGGCCTGCAGGCCTTCCAGTGGGCGGGGCCATGTCACCAGGTCTCATGTAACTTTGGCCGTACGAGTCGCGATCCTGTGGGCTGGTATTGCTTGTTGGGTAAGCCTGCGGGGCTTGCTGAGGAGCATATCGTGAGTTGTCATAAGGCTGAGTTACTTGTGGGTACTGTTGCATGCTTTGAATCGAGGCTCCGGGTGGGGTGGTTGCTGGAGTGGCAGGCATGGATCGAGTATTGCTGAGACCTGTATCTATCGACATGGGGTTGGGGTGCTGAGCGCTGGACATGCCAGGCTGTGGCCATTGGTAGTTGTCCGAAGGCATGGTTCCCATCACGCTCGAGGCGCTAGTAGGCGGAGTCGGGAAAGTATGAGCACGGTCTAACGAAGGCCGGCCGGAGGAATTGTTGGAAGGAATCGAAGGCTGTGGCCCGGGCAAAGCCATGTGGTGGTGGTGCGAGTGTTGCTGGATGGAAGGGAGAACTCCAGCTGGGGGTGCAGGGCCACCGGAGCCGTTGCGCATCTGGCCACCTGCCTCGGCCTTCCTGCGCTCTGCAGCGGCCATGACCTGGTTGGTCCTGGTCTGGTTGGTGGGGTGATAGAGTAGAGCGCCAATGTTGTGAACAAAAAGGGGATACAGCATTTCGGTAATCTTCTCCTTGTTGGCAAAGTCGAGGGCTCTCTCAAACGGAATCCTGTTTCCCCACATTAGCATGGAAGGGATAAGACACGGCTGAGGGTAATCTTACCATACGCCCTTCAAGTGCATGGGCCCGATTTTGACTACGTGGCGAACCTTCTCACTCTTGAGAATTCCATCGCGACGACCTCTGGTCATGCCAGCGACGTTCAACAACTTGGTGCCGTTGATCATGTGGTTATCTGAAAAGACATGTGTCAATGCTGAAATCAAAAGACGTATTCTGGAACGGTTTGATGCTCACCCTCGCGACGTGCCACGCAGATGCCGCGGGCTTCGACTTGAAAACAGAGACTGCCTTCATCCTCCCACAACGTTGCAGTTACGCGTGGCTTCATGCCAGGAGGCGCTATTTGTCCAGTCGTGTCCATGCCAGTTGGGTAAGCATTCGTCATACCCGGCTGGTGCACACCAGGTGGCGGGAGCACGGTAGAGCCCATCGAGTTCGAGACTGGGGGTGCCGACTGCGGAGACGTCAAGCCATTGGAATAACCGTATTGCGGATACGGAGCCGGAGCATACTGTGCAGGACCGGGCTGCAGCAATGTGGGTTGTTGGTGGCCATAGTGCGGCGGGAGGGCATTCGAGGTTACAGTCTGAGGAGTAGGTGCCGGACCGGCGGACATGTGCTGCTGGTAATACATGTCGGGGCCTGCGGAGTTCATAGCGGGATAATGGTCGTATGTTCCTACTGAATGTGATGATGCCCCAGATATGCCTGTTACAGGGAGGCTTGGGGAAGGGGTCTTGGGGCCGTTGGACGAAGTGGCCGAGGTGGCGGTTGTGAAGGACGAGTGGGAATCGCCGTTCGAACTCACAGACGAGCCAATAGAACTGAGCCGGGGTGAAGATGCACCCGAGGAGTATGCAAGATGTTGGGCTAAAGGAATCGACGGCAATCTCTCACTGGCATACGGCAACGGGCGCGGCGCGGCAGGTTGCCCGTAGTATGATACGTCGCTTGGTCCCCGGGGATGCGAGTAAGAAATCGGCGGAAGAAGTTGAGGATCCAGCTTGACGATCTAGCAAGGGGAGTCGTAGAGACGATTCAGAAGACGGCGTACGCCTCAGCAAACCCTGACTTTCTCAAGAAGCACAGAGCCCACCACACCCACTCCACGCAGTGGTTTTCCTAAATCTGCGCGGTACTTCGGACAAGCACAGCGCTGACGGTGAGGAACAGTCCTCCTACCTCAAATCACAGGTGGAACGTGAGTCCTGGAACCGAATCGGACGCTTCCTGCTAAACCCTCACAGAAGTTGGTATCGAAACAATTGGTCGTCAGTCGTATCGCTTAAGTCTAAGAGCGATGCAAGATGTTGATGTTGATGTCGTTAAAGCTTAAACGAGGGGCTTTTTTCGTGACGTGCAGAGACAGGTTACAAGAAAAACGAAGAAAGTCGTAAGTCCGGTCGTGCTTTCCTACTCTTTTTATTCGTCCTCGAGGTTTCTTGAGGTTATGACCTTTTCAATTGAAAGTATGTGTCTGCTCAAGCCTGCCCAACTACGAACGCGGCTTCTTCCTCGCTTGCTTCCTTTTGGATTCGAGAAAGAAAAGAAAAAAGTTCGACACTATTCGTGGTGAGGCACAATGGTCAGCTTCATGCAATGAGTTGAGGCCATGGATATATGATTCAAGGGCCAGGTTGACATTCAGCTCGTGGTCCAATATAGCGGACCCAGGTGGTCGAGGTTTGCGCGAAAGAGCTTTTTGGTTTTCGTTGGTCGGAGTGGGAAGCAGAGGGAAGTGTTGGCAACTAGGCCCGGGGACGGTGTAGTAGAAGACGGCGATCTCGACGGGATCACAATACGTACCTACGCTCCAACCTCTGAAGTCCGTCTCGGAAGAATTGGGGTGGTCGGATAGACGTAAGGAGGAAGAGAGGAAGGAAGAGAAGAAGTAAGTAGGTAGAAAAGAGAAAACGGTCGTGGTGGTTAGGAAGAGGAGGCAGGGGAAGCTAAGATAGTAGTAGTTGTAGTAGTAGTAGTCACCCATGGATGATGCTGTAGGTACTAGGTGCATTATCTCGGGGTAGAAACCAAATAATCATCTAGCCAGACCTGGTCGCTCGATCTTTCGTTTCTCTGACACTGTGAACCCCCAGCGGATGTGAATAATAGTGGGCTGAATGTAGACAAGGACTGGGTTGGAGTCTCGACGGGGGTGCGTAGACAACCCCCCCCCCAGGCCGCTGTGCGGATTTACCAACAACACGATATTTATAATCCATGTACAGACGGATAACTTTGACCTTGATGTCTCCCTTTCTATCTATTTAATTCTTGGAGAATCTATTCAAATCTACCAAAATTACAACAACTATATCCAAGCCATGAAGTACTATGTATCATAGTCACCTGATAGCTGAAGAGCGTTGGGGGGGGGAAAAAGTGAAGAACAGCCGTTGGTGGCACTGTAGAAGTACCTACTGCCGTTTTTTGGTGGGCTGAGGGGTGTGGACTGTGTGCATGCGGTACCCTAGGTAGCGTCGACCTCTACCATGTACAGTATCCTGGCACCCTGGCTTTGCCCAGCGATATTTGATCCTGGCACCCTAACTTCCTTACCGTAGCATCCCAGCTACATTATATACCCTGGCCTAGTCTAGTCGGTCCAAACCAAGCCCACTACTCCGATGTGTGTGTGTGTGTGTGTGTGTGTGCGCTGCCGGGTGTTTTTATCCAAGGGGGCGTGCAATCTTGTAAGATGGTGGTTGGTGCTTCTTAGCGCAGAGCATAAGATGGCCTGAGAGGCTTGAGGGCACAAGAGAGCAGCTACACAGTATTTCTATAAAGTACCTACACTACGTAGAGTGTGGCCAGGTTGAATTACTGGAGCTCAATCGGTGCAGTGGGTTTTTCTCTCTCTCCCATTGAATGTTGTCCATAGACGGCAAGGTAGGTACTCTGGCAAATGTACCTACATTCAATGCTCATCGTGCCTCAGTCATTGTCCGGACCCATTCATTCGTGAGTACCTCAGATCATCGATGAAGCGCGACCCAGTAGGTAGTAGAGTTGCCCTGTGGATGCACATTGGAGGGGCCACTCACCCCATACTTTCTTGTCCATTTTTCTGCTGCTACCTACGTACATGGTTGGCAAATTTGGATTACTTTTTGCTGAGCATTCAAATCCTGAATGACTATCGTCTTTTTTTTTTATTACTCTGTCAAGATTAGCAAATGAATCAAAATTCATGACCGCACAAGAGTTGTCGACGTTCCTGCTCCTGCTTCTGCTGCCGCCGCTGCATCTGCTGTGTCTGTCTAGCAAGCCCATGAGACACTGTATACATGGGCGTCTCGCAGTCGTTGCACGTTTTTCTTAACGAGGAATGACGGCGGCTTGTCTATCAAGATGCGATATTGCAGGTCTAATGTACAGGATATATGTGCCCAGCGAGGCTAGGCCACACGTACCTCGGGCCTTTTGCCCCTCTATGGAGACAGCAACAGAGGGCGAGACTCACAAAGTGTCATGGTAAATAAACATTTGCGTCAATATTGAAGAAGGTGTGAGAATTTTTTGTCCTCTTACGGTTCGGAGAAGCTAAAAAAGAATACGTCTCTGACTGAAGCTCTCGGGTCCTTGAAAACTTTGATCATGGGAAATCTGGATCCTTGGTCAGGGATCCTGAAAGATACTCGGACCCAATGAGAAGGAATACCTCACAATCTCTCTTGGCGATTACACACGCACATCAAACATGGCAAAGTACGTAGACTGATTCCGAGAAACGGGAGCTCTGCACTAAATAGTACATTTAGGTGGGCAGGCTCTGTGCTCATGATGGCGGCGTTGAATCTGTGGGACGCCTTGCCCAGTCCGAGAGTAATGTAGCCGGTCCTCGCCAGAGAGACTGGAGGGGGGAACGACGCAAACCATGCCAGAGCCGAGCTTTTCCTCTTCTTGCCCTGGAGTCCTGAACTTGAAAGGGCTAAAAGGATTCGGGCACCTCGGCGCGCTCTGTCCGGCCGTCTTAGGCGTCGGATGCCGTTTCTCTCGCGGCGCGCGGGCACTTGGAGGGGAACTTTTGCACAGGCATCTATCTGGCCTGGTGCCGGGTCACAGGCCGTAAATGCTCCACTGTATCTGGCCACCAGCCATCGAAGAAGCCTGCTCAGGCCTCGGACAGACAGGGGAGTCGCTTCTTGTTATTGGGTGGGGCCTACCAGTGACGGGACTCCCCAGCTGGTTTTTGCGTGTATCCAGAGCATGTGTGTCGTCTGTGCTCATGATCAATGACTCCCTCGGAAATAGACCATGGTTCCTCCTTGGGAGCCAGCGCGTAATGTAGATGCTACGGGCAATTAGGTTCAAGGACGTCTTGATAACATTACAAAATAGCCTGTCGTCGATCCAGGTCCCAGGCCGTGAGTGAATGTAAGTCAATCATATAAGCGCAGTGTGTCAGCGGTTGTTGTTGTCGACTTCTCTGAGCAGCCGCTGCCATTGAGAGTTAATCGCGCTCGCGCGTAAGGAGGACTGATGCCAGCATCATCGGTTGGTCGGTAAGATCTCCCTCCAACCCCCGGCTCCCCCTACCAAGCGGCTGGCAGCAGGGCAGGGGCCGCAGGCAGTTTCTGCGAGCACTACTGTGCGGTTACTTGGATGATGGCCGCGTCCCGTGGTGGGCAATGTACGAATACACTACGAAGTACCTACATACTAATAAGGTTCTTTCACTGGCGCGAGCTGCCCTTTTACGCCGCGTTGCATCCTGATCCACTTACAGTGCCGGATGGCCATCTCGCTACTTGGCGCCAGACGATAGTGCATTTTATATTCCAACGACGGTGACTTGCTACGGGCTGTCGATGATATAATTAGTCTAGCAAAGGCTTCACTCTGTTAGCAGCAGCTCGCCGAGAATGATTCAAGCAAACACAGCACGGGAATGCGGCTCAAATTGTACGAGGAAGAGCAGCAAAAACCTTAGCCTGCCTAGGTAGGTCCGTCTTGCCCGTAGTAGTTTTTCTTTTCCCTCCCCAAAGGCAGGTCACCCCCGGTCCCGGAGCTCAGCCAGAGACGAGTAGCTTGTGATTCTTTTCATCCCGAGTCAGAGTTATGACTTTAAGCAGCCCTCGAAGCATGATTGTATTTATTAGTTGAAATTGATATCTCTGTCAGATATATTTGTTCCTTGCCTACTCGCCAAGCTCGTCATCACATGAAATCGTTTCCTGCGTGGCTGGTTGCGGCGCGTCGGTAGATCAATCTTGATACTGGGGCTTGCAGATGACGATAGACTCCGGGTGGAAAGCTGGAGAACTAGCGCTCGGCAGCCCATTTAGAATAGAATAGAATTTAATGCCAAAGAATTACTATGATATTGGCACTAGCAATAGCAAAAAGAAAGTGAATGGAAGTCTTTTGCGAAACGAGGCGAGACCAGGCAGAGATTGACTATGGACAGTGTCTTGTGTTTGCGCAGGGGTGCATGGCAGCAAAGAACGACGGACACAGTGAACAAACGTAGGAATAGGAATTTATCCATCATCCCATCCCCCCAGCGCGAGATTGGATCTGATCCCAGAACTGCCCGCCACGGGCTGCTGGCCAGCGATTGGAGGATTGATTGAATCATGACATGAGGCGGCCACCTTGAGAGACCGTCTTTCTTCACCGACCTTGCAACTTGCGCACTGCGGCTGGGCTATG